CTGGCAATACCGAGTGATGCCACTCGGGCTCAGTAATGCCCCAGCAACATTTGATAGGCTGATGGAACGAGTATTGGAAGGCCTACAATGAAGGATAGCCCTAGTGTACCTGGAAGATGTCATTGTACTTGCAACAACTTTTGACGAGGAAATGTCCCGGCTGGAGGAAGTATTCAAGCGTTTGAAAGCAGCAAACCTCAAACTCCATCCCAAGAAATGTCATTTGTTCCAGAAAGAGGTGCTTTACTTAGGCCACAATGTTAGTGAGAATGGTGTACAAATGGATCCTGATAAGGTGAAAGCAGTGCATGACTGGCCAACACCAGACAATGTGGGAGAGCTAAGAAGTTTCTTGGGACTCTGTACTTACTACCGCAAATTTGTGAAGAACTTTGCAACTATAGCTGCTCCACTATATGTTCTAGTTCTTACTAGATATAGGGTAGGCGGGTATATAAAAGAGGGTAATGTAACGTGTCTGGGTAGATAGTGAGTAATTGAACTGCAGTCAGAAGTATTATTGACGTTCGTTGTTATAGCGTTTGTTTAGCGCGATTGTGGAAGTTGAGTGTATCGGTAAAGTTATATTCGGAAAGAATAAACCATTTTTTATTAAGAAAGAACTTGTGTCGCTTAAGTTTCGTCGGAACGAAGTTACGGAGAGTTAATTACGGAGACGTAACATAATGTTAGAATATATCTGAGTGATGATAACTTGACTGTTTGAAATATTAGTAAAGTAACTCCACAGTTACGCTAAAGTTTATTTATATATATTTATTTTTTTCGGGGGGGAGAAAACTTATATTTGGAAAAACATGAAGATTTTAAGTTATAAAACTCACATTGTAAATTCACAATTTTTTTGAGTTATAATTGTTGTTTTTTTTTATCAATATCCATTGTATAGTATGTACGAATTTACGCATACTTTATTTCATACCACATTTGTACTATCTCGGAATTTAACATGATTTAGTTAATAACATGATGCCTACCAGTAGCTCAGCGGTAAGTTTGAAGGCTTATAACGTTAAGAACTGGGCTTCTATGCTTATGTTGGGCACAGCACAGATAGCTCATTGTGTAACTTTGTGAATAACAGCAAAAACCAAACAAACAAATAAGATCATAACAATTTAACATTTGACAGATGTTTTAGTATTCCACATAAATATGTAAAGCTATTTGCATGGTTTTTAGTGGTTTGTTCTCTATGAAGTATTTGTAAACACCTCTTTGTCTTTTACTATTAGAAAGTTGCTGGAGTTAAAACAAGCTTAAGTTCTTCCTTAGTTTGCGTGATTTAATGCCACACAACTTTGTAACTTCGTAATATTCTATAGGCTTATAAGACCCATCAATGTCGATATTCAATTGGGGAAATGATAATTTTCTTTTTAGGCCTATTTTTTACCTTCCATATTCAAACAATAGTAGTTGCATGTTATTAATTTGGTTTTAAAGTAGGTTGCTATAGTAACAGTAGAATTTATCATTTATATACTGATATTGGACACATTATTCCAGTTGCCATTGTTTCATCAACACCTCTAAATAAATCTATCCAGAGGAAAGGTCAAAATGTTTTTCCTACTAGCCTTAATGATTAAAACCTGTTTCTTTTATTATTGAAACTATCTAAATTTTTCCAGAAGTTTAATGAATTAAAAAAATATCAACAGATATTGATGCTGCTATTAATTTTTCTTTCGGCTTTGGCCCACCAGCGGGTCATTGATAAGTTTACGAACTAACAACGCAAAAATCCGGGGTTCAATTATCCGTGGTTAATAGAATGCAGATAAGCATATTGTGTTGTTTTGTTATTGAAACGCAACATTCTGTTAATAATTTAAATATTCCTGTAAGTTACATGATTATTATTTCAAATCTTTCTTGCATCCACGGTTACTATGGTTTCTTGCCATGTTGCCAAATAACAGGTGTTTTATATATTTCAAAGCTTCTGATCTGAATCATCGGGAAAATTATAAAGTTTAAATGTTATTAAAGATTACTATTAATATTAAGGCAAAAAAGTCTGGTATATCTGATTAGCAATGATTGATGCTTTCATTACTGGTTCAACGTTATTTCAATGGAGAAACTATTAACGGTTTAAAGAGTATGCACTCACTGCTATGTAATACTATCACACTGGTAAATTAAACAACCAGATCAATTTTTAAACCAAGCGTACAAATAATTAGCTTTCTATAATTACCCTTTAGTATTCGTGAAAAGTTCAAAATAAAGCATTTTGACTCATATCTTTAGTTGATAAGAAATATAACAGATAAAAATCGATCACCATAGAAACATCGTGTGAGGTTTCACAACTTTCCGATTGTTTCATTTCATTTTTACCGCTCCTAGTACGGCCGAAATTTTGGTTTGGTTGTGGTTAAGCAAAGAGGTACACAATTGGCTGCCCCCCAGTGGCACAGCGGTATGTCTGCGGACTTACAACGCTAGAATCCGAGTTTCGATACCCGTGGTGGCCAGAGAAAAGATAGCCCATTGTGTTGCTTTGTGCTTAATTACAAACAAACAAACACAATTGGCTATCTGTGTTCTGCCCACCACGGGTTTCGAAACCTGAATTTTAGCGTCGTAAGCCTGCAGACTTACCGCTTAACCTCTACGAGGAATGGGTGAAAATGTCGTTAACAGTGAGGATATACAACTTACAATTTGATGTATTTCAGTTAATATACTGTTTTATCGAGATTTATTTATTTAACTTAACTAATATCTACTCTGTATTTAGCAGTTATTCCACAGAGATTAAATAGATTTATTCTAATGTATGAATAAAGTATTTACTACATTCATGTTCATATTTTGATGTTTGTTATAATTGAATGTATTAAGCGTATCATAAAATCATAGTTTTATGCTATCACTGCATTGTATGTGCTATAGGGATCTGTATCGCCAAACATGGAAGTGGGTTTAACACCAAAGCCAAGGAGGGACCTCTGTTGGATGGTAGTTACAATTACGGTATTTTTCAAGTAAGTTTCGTGATTTATTGTACGGCTAAAACTGCCACGATAACATTTTGATAATATATTTGCATTTAACTGATTTCGACATATCCGAATAAAACTAGATATTTATCAAATTAACTGGTAAAAACTAAAGAAAATATAAACCAAGCACAAAGTAGTATTTGTAGAATAGATTTCCATTGTTTTATTTTTCTATTTGGACTCCATCTCGCTTTACTTTAAAACTATTTATTTTATAAAATCAAAAATACGTATATATAAGTAATATAGGTGTTACTCGGATTCCTTCATTCCATTTTCAATTTAATATCTACCAAATCTGGATATAGTGCATAAGTGGCCTGAGAATGATGATTCGTACAATGAATAATAAAATAAAGTAAATAAAACATTTATTTGAAAAATATTAGAGAAAGTACAAGCCACAATGTATTGATGTTTTGTTTTTCTCTGTCTGAAGGAGAACAAAAATATGCTAGAGTTTACCAATTTCTTTCGCTGTTTTCTCTGACTTTATCGTTGTCTGCATTTTCCTTTTTTCAAAGTGCTTTTTTTCATCATTATAACTACATAAGTTCTTAAGAAGTAACTTTTAGTCATTATACCACTAATTAAAAGCATTGAATATCTAAAAACTACTTTGTGAATAATTGACAGTATTCTAATATTGTTTGGCTCCAAATAGTTACGCCACAAGACCGTTGAGCTGGTAAGTATTGATCTAGGATTGACCACATCTGAAAATCCTCTAGATTGGACCTCCATAGTCTCCCCTACCCAAAAAAACTCTTTGATTATGCTGTTGTGGTATATCGTGGATGATCAACAAAACAGAACACTTCGGTCAGCTAATAACTGGAGGTTCTCAGATCTCCAAACGAGTTGCGACAGTTTAATTACAAAAAAAGATACAAGATTTTTACAAAGAATAAATGTTTAATGATTCGCAGTTACCAAAACAAATAAATTATACTCCACCAATACAATACAGAACAGCACAATATAACGGGCAAGTGAACGTGTGTGCTTTGAAGCTTTGAACACAAAGTGTAGGACTAGCAAGAGCTAATGAAGACTTTAATGAGAAAACAGTCCTGTTGGGCCGGATGCTCCAGTTGTAAGATATATTGAGTGAAATGAAACGACTAAATAATAATCCCAAGTTAAGATACTCTGACTTTAATCTATTTAAATTGTTAAATACACTAGAACTAAAAAAATAATTCGCTTGAAAACGACCCTAACAATGGCTGGGCCAACGCTTCACGATTTAAAATGAAGATAATTCTAAATCTCGTTCGTTTAGATACAACGTAAACATCTTTAAAGTGCTGGCCAGTGCCTTATGCAACTCACTAGAGACAAAATGAAAGTAATAAAATAAATGAAGGTGATTTTTTATCAAAATCTGAGAATTTTAGGAGCTCTCTTAAAATGAAATGAAAGAGAAGGTACCAACCTGCAGAAATTCACAATTCTTAATGCGAGAACTTTAAGGGTTCTCACTATGTTAAACAACATGGAAAATATCGGATTCTGCTAAACAAATTTACTGAATAAAAACACATACGAAATTATCCGTAAATCTGTGTAAATCCAGTTAAATCTGTATCCAATCTTTGTAAAACTGGTGTCAAATCCGTGCAATTTTCTTGTAAATGTGCCCCTCCCCAGTGGCACAGCGGTATGTCTGTGGATTTACAACGCCAATTACTGGGTTTCGATACTCGTGGTGGACAGAGCACAGATAGCCCATTATGTAGCTTTATGCTTAACTTCAAACAAACAACGAAACTATTGTAAAATATGCTCTCCACGGCTCCAACACTGTCTTAAATATGTGTATAAACTCTCAAGTTCCTGATACAAGAAACAAGCTATTGGTGCGTGTTAGATCAGCTGGCCAATGGACAATGAAGATCAAGGGCGAAACTACTCGCAGTTATTACCTGGTTACAAGATTAATTGAAATCGCTAATTCAAAACTACGTCGATATTAGCAACCAATGTGTTTAAAAGAAAACGAAGTTTAGTAATAAGAAAGATTACGACACTTATTTATTTAAAATTGGGACGCAGATAAACGTTTCAGAATTCTACAGATTCTATCTAAAGTAAAATATAAAGAAGTTACATCAATCCTTGGACATCACCAAGTTAATATTGTTACGTTTAGCGATGATTGAACAAAAACGCACGAAAAATGTGTAAAAGGAGAAGCTAGAACAAGAAGACAAACAAGAATTAGAAGTAACACCAATAATACTATACGTATTTAAAAATATACAATTTAAATGAAGATAGCGTGTTATATGGGGCTGGAAAATGTTATTGGACGTGAATGTTTTCTTTAATCAATAATTAAAGATCAGTGTATAGCATGCTGGGATAGTAATATTCGATGTGTCCTGTTTCTTCACTATGTTGTTGTATAGAGGAAGCACAGAAGTTACTCAACTTTTTTTGCATCCCTTTTTAAATAAATAAACAATTTTGTTCACCACGTTGTTATTCCTGTAAGAGAGTCAGTCAAGGAGGCGCTTAATGTATGCAAATACCACTTAACCTACTTAGCCCCTTTAAATGAAAGTAAAAGCTAGAAACTCACTTTAATACCTCTGTGTTCCATCCGGGGAACTATGAAAAACAAAATATTTTTGATAATTTTAGTTTTTAACTAAAGGGTTAGAAACTGTATATCCAAGTACTACACAATCCATGCACCGTTCAGGGTACCGTGTACACGTGTTTTCTTCTATCTGACAGATTTTTTTTTTGGTTTAATTTAAAATTTTAAAATTATAATTGATATCATTTTAGATATCTCATCGAGAGCATTCTTATTATTTAGCCCATCGTGTTAAAAGAAAATTTATCAGGACAGTCCATCTTATGTAAATAAAATAATGTGATTACAAGCTTTCTTGTTACACACAATAAACAAGTATTTCTGTGCTAAGACGTCACTTCATTCTTATTGAAGTTCTTTATCTACAAAAATATTTTTATATATACAATGTTTCAATAACACTAACTAAACTAATTTAAAGTTCTTTAGTTTCACTGGAGATTTTATGATTGATTCTTTGAATATATGGACTATATAATTGTTTGACTCATATCAGAGTCAGCCGACTCTAAAATATCTCATGTATGGAAATAACTGAAAGTTTATAAAAGGTGTTTTTTTGTACATAATTAGCCACATAGCTATAACCAAAACATTTTTTTTCTAAATTATTATACAAAAAATCCACCATCATTTCAAGTCAGAAATATAATAAAACCTTTTACTACAATGTTTTCTAAAATATGTAACTTTTGATCAGGATCTTTATAAGTCGTCTAACGTCGTAAGCAGGAAAGTAAGTCGTATAAAAACGGTTCACGGAAATATAAGAAAGGCGCTTAACATATATATAGTTTCTTATGAGAAATGTCCCTTTTAGACAAAATTTATTGCCAGTAATTTCGCCATATTAGCATGCTAAACATTTATGCGGATATTTTTTCTAAGCTGAACACTGACACGGCGAAGTTTGATAGGGATAATCTTCGTTGAACCGTAATATTGAGTTGCAAGTTATGAATATATATGAACAAAGCTGTTTTTTTTTTTTCTTATAGCTGAATAGTAAAATCTGGTGTGGCTCTTCTGGATCTAAAAACCAATGTGGAATACCTTGTGAAGGTAAAGTCTGCTAAGGTTTGAGTAGGAAAATCGATGAAAGTCAGTGTGAGAAAGTTTAAAAAAATATTGATGACATTTAAGAAATATTTATATGTATATATATATTTGCTATGTACCAATTACATCCTACTAGGTACATACTACCATTTGTAGCCTACATTTATTTATCTGTCTTATATATGCAACGTTATTTGCTTCTGGCCAAGTTGTTTTAAAATAAAAATTTGTCAAAGCTAGTGTTGCGTCACCGAGGTCACGGGACTAGTGTCACGCTCCCTGCTTTCTGGAAATATATTGTACCTTCGTGAATTGTCGGGAGATTACTAGATATAGGATAGTCTGGTATATATATAAAAGGGTGACGGCGTGACGCGACAATGTGTGTGTAGGTAGTGAGTAATTAAACTGCAGTCGGAAGTATTGTTGAAGTTAACGTTCGTTGTTAAAACGTTTGTAAAAGAGCGACTGTTGAAAATAAGTGTATCGGTAAAGTTATATTCAGAAAGAATAAACCAGTTTTATTAAGTAAGGACTTGTGTCGCTAAAATTTCGTCGGAACGAAGTTACGGAAAAATCAATTAACAAACGGAGACGTAACACTAGGAAGACATTGCTTTTTATTCTGTTAGACCTTAAAATCAATATAAGTATTGTGTTTTCTTGTTTCTTTACAGCACTTTTGAATGATGATATCAACAATGACGTCAAATGTGCTCTGAACGTTTATAAACTGAAAGGTTTTGCTGGCTGGTAATTATTCATTGTTATATTCTTATTTGTCAGACCCATCAAACAGTTGTAGTTATCGATTTTGTATTTTTAACTGCGTTTTTTTTTCTTCTTATCAAAATATGAGGTATAGATAACATATCGGTCAAGGCATCCAGGACACTAACATATATATATCCAGCACAATAATGTTCAATAAAATGTAAGGACATATGTTTTTTTTTTACTATTATTATTAATTAGCCCAAAGAAATAGAACGTTCTACGTAGACGCGTGTTGTATAACATGACATAAATTATTGTTTGAATATATTGGTCTTTTGTGTGCATTCTTTGTATATATGATTATGTTTTTCAATAAATACTATATTCAGGAAATTTAGAATTATTCTTGAATTACATCTATCTAGTCAAACAGACTTGGTGTTTAATTAGCCATAAGTTTTTTAAAGTAATGCTATTGTGGTTGAGGTAAGTATATTTTTCTATCATCACATTTAGAGTTCACGCTGTAATATTATACAAATATTTAAGATTCGTTGAAATTATTGACCTATACAAATGTCTTTCTCCTGAGTATGCTCTAGAGATGGTAGTCATTTAGAATATACTCTAGAGATGGTCACTCAGAACGTATTCGAGAGAAGATAGTAATTCGGAGTGCACTTGAGAGATAATACTCAATTGGAGTATATGTTAGAAATAGCTGTCGTTCAAAATGCGCATGCGAATTAATAATCATTATTTCTGAATTTTATTGTTTATTTTTATGTAATATTAAAACTTCTGTTTTTATTATTAATATAATCATTCCTAATTTGCGTTAAGCCAATCTCGTGTATACACCAAAACGTTTTAAAACAGCTTACTATCTTTGTATATAAAATATAATACCATTAGAATATATATCATCTTAATTTAGATATAACATCTTATTTAAATGTATCAAACTGATGTTAATTTAATATATTTATTCTCACAGGCTTTCCTGGACAAACAACTGTAAAAATCGTGACGTCAGTAAATACGTTATTCCTTGTGAGATGCATCGGAGAACATATCTGAATAGTATTATAAAACTTTATAAAAAAAAACCTTTAAAAATAAATAGAATATAGAATATTACGATGATTTAGTTTTGGATCACCATTTAAAATTTTAAGAGTGCAATGGTTTTTGCTTTAACCATAACCAAATTTTGAAATGTTTTCGAATTCATTTGTACGTTAGGTTACAATAAAATTTAATCCAGAACAGAAGTTTTTGGTGTTTGTTTAGAGCAAAGCTATAGAATATGGTATCTGCGCTTTGTCTACCACAGGGAAATGAACTCCAGATTAAAAGATTTTCGCGTTTTAAGTAGGTAAACTTACTATTGACCCACTAGAGAACAACAACAACAAAAAGTACTGGAGATGTGAATTCTGTCTGGTTACTTGTCGTTTATTACAATATCTTAGTAAGAAAACACTGAAATCATAAATTAGGATAAGACAAAAAGGAAAAGTTTTTATTTTTTGGCACTTAGGGTTTTCAAGTATTATTTGTTGAAATACTATTTACACTTTACAAAAACTTGTTTGTTTCTAATTGAAAAAAAAAACAAGTTTTATAAGATCTCCAATAAAATATTTATTACCACCGCATTCTGTAGAATTTTTACTTGCTAATAAATATTCATTTGTAGTTCAATATGAAGCTCATTATTAAAATTAACTTAATTCGTAACACTTAGCTAGTTTAATTTTTTAAAAATTACTATACAGGAATCCCTCGATTAGTGCGGTTAATGTGTTCTTTAAAAGAGCCGCACTAATTGAATATAATAACTTATAG